AGCCGAGACATGGAGAACAACGGCCGTAAACCTGACCAGAATCCAGTCCTTCATCAACAACTGTCTAAGAAGGATTCTCAGAATTCACTGGCCAGACAAAATCAGCAACCAGGAACTGTGGCAGCGGACTAAACAGAAACCCATTGAGGAAGAGATTCTCCAGAAGCGGTGGAGGTGGATTGGTCATACACTAAGAAAACCTGCTTCTAACATAACAAAGCAAGCCCTGAAATGGAACCCACAGGGTAAGCGGAAAAGAGGCCGTCCAAGAAACACTTGGCGCCGAGAATTGGAGACAGACATCAAGAAAATTGGCCATGAATGGAAGATCCTGGAGAAGCTGGCCCAGGATAGAGATGCCTGGAGGTCTCTCGTAGGTGGCCTATGCCCTTGGAGGAACCGCAGACGCCGACGATGATCGGTGGATGCCCCTCATGGACGAGAAGGCTCAACATACAATACATTAACTATCAATATCCATTGGTATAATGGTAATTATGTTATGATATTTTTATTTCTAAATTTGTATGAAATATTAATTTTCTTTATTGCAATTAATAGAAAGAAAGGAGTGAGAAAAGACAAACAAGAATCAGTAGTAGCTCTTGCAGCAGCTAATTCAAAAGTATGGGAGACCAGATTGGATATTGCTGAAAAGTCTAAACATGAGTATAGGTACTACAAAATTTAATTAGCTGTGTGTAAATATTATAAAACTTGTAATAATTTCATTTCCTTATGACTAATGAGACACAAACAATTTAAGTAAACAAAGCAATAAATGTTAAGCTTTTATTGTGATTAGACAATTTACAAAGTACAATGTTTTGACAAATGCCTTCATCAGTACAAAAAAAAAAGATAAATATAGTAATAAATTAAATATAAATAATTTATGGATATCCTAACTAAACCTACAAAATCAAGAAACTTATAAAAATGGGCACAGTCACTAACGAAATCAAAGATCAGAAGAACGGAAAGAAAGTGGGTGGCTGTTCCATATAAAAACCAAACAGGAAAAAGACATTTGTTAATATGTGTTGCATGTGTAATTTACTCTAACAGCATTTGTGATTTTTATGTATCAAATTCTAATACTTTAAAGAATATTTCTTTTTAATTATCAACTTTCAATTCAAAATCTCAGAGAAGCGGCAAGAAGATTAATGCAGGAAAATGATGTCTTACACACTCAAATGTTCCAAACTGAAAGGGATACAATTGATGTTGTTACTTATCTCAAGCAACAAGATCAAGAAAAAGAGGCTCAGGTAATTTTCAAAATTTCAAATTATAAAAAAGACAGCTCAGAAAAAGGAAAAAAAAAAAAACATTTGGGCAAATTAATTTTTGGAGCAGGATTAGAATCATTATTTTAGTTTCTACACAAACTAAAAAGGGATACAATTGATGTTGTTACTTATCTCAAGCAACAAGATCAAGAAAAAGAGGCTCAGGTAATTTTCAAAATTTCAAATTATAAAAAAGACAGCTCAGAAAAAGGAAAAAAAAAAAAAACATTTGGGCAAATTAATTTTTGGAGCAGGATTAGAATCATTATTTTAGTTTCTACACAAACTAATTATTAATATTTCTCACTTTGTTGTCAAAATTAGTGTGAGTTGGCCATCA